AATAGAAGGGGAGGTAAGCGATGACGTGGTTAAGAATAATGAGGGCTGTCACTTCGTGATTGGCCTCAGTTGGAGCCTCTCTACTTCCTGATTGTGGTCCGAAGGACGGTGAACACATTCGGTTGGATACATTTGTTGACATGCCGAAGAGCCGAGCTTATTGGCGTTTATGTTTTGGGTTCCTTTGTCCTTTCTAATCTCCCTTAGCCACCTTAACGACGAACTCGGCGTTGATGTATAATAATAAAAGTGCATGTGATTACTTGTTTCTGTGTTGTATTTTTCCCATTTGTTATGTATATTTTGTTTTTTCGAATACATTATTTCATTGTATTGTGGCACGATAGCTGAGGTGCTTCACATCCCCAACTAAAATGTTTAATGAATCAATGGAATTGTTTACCGGATTCTGTTCTTCCATTCTGATATCTGCACAGTTTTCCATGGTTAACGCTGCGCACTCTGGTGATCATATTTTTTTCCTTTTGCTTCACTCATATGATCGGCTTGATTAAAGTTTCTTTCGGAGTACGTATTAATCGTCAGACTTTCGTCGCTCAGGCTGCATACTCCACTGTACCGAGTCAACTCATATGTATACACTGCCGAAAGGTATCACACCTTTTGACCTATGTTGCACATTTGCGAACGGTCGTTTTATTACAGAGCGGTCAGTACCGTCCGCATTAACTCCGGGGAACCAATTGTGGCACCTGATTTTTGGATCACTCCTTGGCTGTACCGTAAAATCGGCATGTTTTGATGGAGCAAGCATGGCTCTTCTAGCCCCCGTGTCTGTGGACGCAGTGAACTCTCCGGTTATTGGTCAAATGTGTGACTTGTGCTGCATGTTTTGGAAACATTTCCAAATACTTCATTTGCGAACTGGTTTAGCCGCAGTGACAGTCAGATTTGATAATAAGAAAGCAGCAAGACATTTTGTGGTGTTCGGCAACGTATTCTATCGGCCAGAAAGCTAGTTCGCACCGAGAATGCGTCTGATTTGGTTGGGCCTCCAATGACTGCAAGGCAAAGCGGATTGGAACAGTTACCCACAGAACTGAACCAGTTAGGCATATGTCGTTACTTATTATTACTGATACTTATGATTTATCATCCCAACCATTAGGGTCTTTGCCCAACGTACTGCTATACATAGAAGAAGGTTGGGTAACCCCCCGTGACATGTTTTGTTACTTAGCACCATTTCTCCGTTTTACTGCTGGGAGACACATTGGGTCTGTTATTTGTCGCCTACTGATGCTGTGAACCTCCGCAGAATGCAAAACTACTGCATCATAATAAAGGTACTAACTGTTTTTTTCTGTACGTTTCCCATAAACCCACCAGACCACCCAAAAGAGCTTGTAACGCAATGCTTCTTAACTCGCATAAAATCAGGGTCCATTGTGATGAATTAGTCTTTCCACCTGCCTTCAATCCTTTGCTTTCGTCTCTCGACCATTCTGTCCCAATATTGGTGATACACGCATAGCTGACAAATTAATCGCAGTAACTCAGAATGACGCTAACGTTCACGCGATTCCCTCTTATATGGTTCACATGAGTCTTCTGGGGCTTCTGGTTCCGCTGCGTCATTTAGTGCATACCACACTCACTTTACTCTTTTTATCTTTCATGAGATTTACCACTCACTTCATGGTTCTTCGCTATCGCTCCTGATCCACATCGACTTCGAATGGAAGGCTATCTCACTACAATACCCTTTTCCGATCGACTATTTGATGATATCCCAATTTATATTCACTAATTGATAAATTATGCCCACTCAGGTATTAGAAGTATAATAATTTCGGAGAGTATTCTTTTCAACACTTCACTTCAGGCAAATGCAATCGTATGACTAAGCTAAACGTAACACGCCAGCGAATGATGCGGATGCGATTGGTTGAGTCAACCAGGCCAATCAATAGTTCACCCGATATAGCAAAGAGACAGACGTTATAAGACAGGCGAGCACATAGACAAAGCACGGGCACATTGGCTGATGTGTCGACAATGGTCATTTTCAACTGCAGTCACTATCCAACATTGGGGCCAGGACAAAATGAAATCTCGTCTCTGTGTTATCTATTCGCTTGACTCCGATTGAAGTAGTCTGATTGCAATCACCTCAGCAGTGCCCAACAAGCGATTTTTGAGTCCTTTGGGGTTGCGCCATCTGGAATGCGTTATCGGTCCGAATCTGATGGCCAGTACTAAGCGGCTGTTCGAGGATGGAACTGCGGACATTCTTAATCGTGCCATGTTGCTGAGACGCAGGGCAGTGCTCCGCCATTCGTCTCGACAGAAACCCGTCTGTTTGTCCGAGGTACCTTGCTCCACAGGTGCCGGTGGATTGATATAGAACGAATGCTTCTGAACGGACCATGTTTCTGTCTTCGAGGTTTTAGGCGATGATCGGAATAGTTGCAGCAAAGATGTGAACTCTAGCGGCCGGATATCTTTGGTCCATTGCCAGCGACCATCTTATACTCAGTAGTATAAAAGCGACATCCCCCTTGTAAGGAACACAAAGGTAAACATACCTTTTTCTTGCAATCGGTATCGCTCTAAGTTGATCAGAAACAACAGCCCGCTTTTTGTAAAATAAATGCAAACGGGATACCCGTTGCTTCGTAGCATCTTGTGAATAAACCCCATCTCAGCTTCCACTGTTTCTGGACCACAAATTCTTACTGTATGAGAGTAGAAAAACGCACAAGCTATATCTTGTAACTTATGGGTAGAAGGTAAGAAAATGCTTGCACTGGCTCACCCAGTTTGTCTTCTGGAAGACTTCTTTTAAGTGAGTTATCGGTTCTGGTTCGCAACAACACATCCAAAAACGGAAGTTCACCGTCCTCTAGTCTGGAAATGAATTTGAATAATGAATCCGCGTTGTCAAATTGTTCCAGTAAGTGAGCCTGACCCACACGATCTACGTGTCGTCGTACTGATGTATAGGTCCGACTACTGAGAGAAGCCGCATGTCCTTTTGCATGATACAACCAAATCCAAGCTTGATCAAACACAAAGGGATAGCACTACACAATATGAAACCAAGCTCATCAGATTACGAAAGGAACTAAACCGCAGCAACTGTATTGATGGTTGCACACTCGAGAGGTTAACCCCGTGTGGCTCGCATCCACCACACCTGTATGGTTTTGTCGAAAGTGCATATGCTCAACCGACAATTTCGTCTGGCCACCAGTGCACTCCGTTGCTAAATGGCTTGCAGAATTACTTGAGCCACTGCGCAAATAACTACCAATCCATAATGTGAGTGATGCATTTGAATTTGTTAGTGAATTGGAAGACTTCAATGTGAAACTCAAATCGATGTTTTCCTTTGATGTAGAGTCTCTTTTCACAAATGTTTCCTTGACTGGAACTGTGAACTAGGTACACAGCTGATGAAAACATTGGCATACGCGTCCCTGTGCAAAAAATAAAGGAGCTAGTCATACGCGCTATCTTTAACGAGCAGTTTTATTCTATGGAAAAAAGCTATCGCCAAATAGATAAAATTGCAATAGGGTCACTGTTAGGGCCACCTCTTGCCGATTTCTTCCTCGCAAAAGTTTTGCGTGGCCCTAGCCGGCACCTTATCAACTCTCTTCATTTCTACCGGTGGTATATGGATTACATGTTCATTGTGTGTGACTCCCACGTCGATCCCGCTCACTTACTGGATCAGCCTAACCACGCTCACTCATCAGGAAATTTCACTTCGAATTAGAGAAGGGCGGTTAACTTCCGTTTTTGGATGTTTTATTGCGACGTAGAACCGATGGCTCACTTGAGAGATGTCATGATTCTCAGAGTAAGATTAAACGCCTGCTTGATTCGGCCTTAGAGCACAAAAGGGAATGTCACAGTACAACGTGTATTAACACAATGAACACAGAAAATTAAGAGTAAAACACACCATTACCAATACTTACAGTTGAATACACACTTTGTTGGATAGGGACGCGGAGGCCTCAATGGTGTGTCTTTGTGGAATAGGCGACAGGAACCTATGTTTCACAACACAAAAACAATGTTCGATTTGTAAGCACTGGTTGTTCCGACACAAAACATGATTACTTGCTGTAAAATAACACGCTTTCTGTTCCCTACTTGTGCACAACTCCAAAAATAAACTAGCAATCCTTCCAGCGCCAACCAAGTTACACTTCCTGGACGTTTCGTCATAACTCTACAGAGAAGAGTCTTCCGTAAGATGACGTAGGCCAGTATGCTCAGCAATGTAATTTTTTAGACGTGCAGCACAGTTATGTGGTCAATGTAACAGTACCATCCGCTGAATAAGTTAATCTGGAAGTTGCAAGGTAGTCATTCTACAATGACTAAATTGCGTTGAGGCCTTCTACTACGATTCGCTTTGCACCGTCGACACGGAGAAAACGCGGAGTACTACTTAGTGCTTTTTTGATTCCCTCGTGTTTACAAGCCGGCCCGTGACCGAAACGATAAGTCCTCTGCCTTGCGATCCGGAAGTCGTAGTTTCGAGCCTGCGTATAGGATAGGGCGACCCTCGCAGTATTCTTAGCCCACGCGCGACTAGTGGTGGTTGCGTGGCAGCGAAGCGTCGGTACGGCGTATTGCTGAGCTCTTTCCTTCTTTTTTTCGTATTTACACATATGATATACTGACTGGCTTTTACGTTCAGAATGCATGTTACCGCTAAAAGGCAACAGCTTCTCGATGGCCCGCTGACCTTCAGCTGAGTTATTCACTAGGAATGTGTACCGACTCATTTTGCCTAACCTACAGCGGGTGTCTGGACGAATGTGTGCCGATTTGCAATCGTGGATCTAAATCTTGTGAGGGTTATATATTCCACGAACACCTCACTAATTCATACCAAAACCCATACCGTAAGTTTACTAAAAATCGGTTTCCATTCCTCTATATTCAACTCTACTGTTACTGAGCTCACTACCCTACACTCTTTCATCATCTCCTGTGACTGGTTTTGTTCCGAGCAGAATGAATTAAACGAGCTGGAGGTCGAGTTTTGTTTTTCTGCTATCCAATCCGAGGTCAGGCGATTGATCGACCTGGGTGAGTGCACACCGAACGAAATGGACCCGTATCTGCGCTCAGGTGAGTGGAGGAATTATGCTTGACGTTGATCATTATACTATGCGGGCACTAACCGAATTCCTTATTGTAACGATAAAAATTATAACAATGCTCAGCTGGCTGCCTCACAATTACCACGTTTGTTGCATGTCAGTTTCGTTTTCTCGAAGCACCCACCACAGACAGACGAGGTACGTAAAACGACTCAATTTGTTCGTCTCCCCGTCATCTCTGAGGCACTTCCTGTTTTGCGAGTGGGAATTTCAGTTTAGCAAACGGAACAATAATCACATGCGGATACTATTTCAAATCCACCATTGAGCATAGCGCGGTGATTAAACGAACAAATTAAAAGGCGTGGACAACTGCCACAGGTCACATCGTAATGTCGTGCGCAAATGCAGAAACCTGGGCCACAAAGAGTAAAAAACCACGCTCTATTTTGAGACACCAACATTCGCTTGGCCAACACCTCATTTTGATGGCGAACACTTGCGTCTGGCCACCAGCTACCTACGGGAGTCAGAACAATGATCACCTGGACCATTACCACTTGTTGTTTGCCATATATATATATATATATATATATATATATATATATATATATATATATATATATATATATATATATATATGGTAGACGGTGTCATGTTTCGAATTTGCCTGTCATTGTGGCCAGCCACAAAACGTTTTTGCCTACAGAGGAACCATGGGTGGCTTGCGCTGTACCACACACAGTTCCATCTACACACCTCATATCCAGTGTAAACCCAAAAAGGAAGACCGGGAGGCATGTGGATAGGAGCCAGGTTTCATCAACGGAGCCGGCCCACATTCCTTCACAGGCAAACACAAGCACACTGTAGTTGGGGAATCAAGCGCACAAAAGGCGCTGGCTGGGCCGTAGTCCGCTCCACACTGATTGCATGAAACCACTCTTTCAGCCTAGCACGGCCACGAAGCCCGTGCACCCCGTGCCCTCCAGCAACGACCAACTCTCTCCTGGAGCCGGTATGGACGAGGTAGTGGGTAATAGACAGGTAGGCACCTTGTCAACATGCACATCAAGCGCAGCCACACTGGGGATATCAAGCAAACGCAAATCTCTTGAGACGATCATATTAAATAAATGAAATCGAGTAGTGCATGCAGATACAGTGACATAACTCTTCAATAAATGAACATATGAAATAAATTGGTTGCCAAAAATCCGCGTTAGCTTCATGACGTCAGGAAATATATCTTATGAAAATGCCACAACCGCGAAAATGTTGTCGAAGATAACCAACATTAAGCTTAAGCGACGTTTCCAAGTTTATTGAAGATACTTCAGGTATACATTAATATAAGATGAGAAAGCATCAGGACAATATAGGAAACCCACCACCTTAAATAAAGTGACTCAGCATGCAAGCACGCGGCTAGTAAATCTAATGCGGCGTACCTACAAACGCTGCGCCGTTTCTGCCTATGTTCTCTTCTCTTCGATGGTGGCCCCGAGTGGCCTCGTTCATGGCTCACTAGGTCTGCCTGACTCAAGCACTCGGAACCACATGTGCTACAGCACCATGCGCTCGCTGCCGATGGAGTACAACCCATCGGCGTCTGTCGATTTCGCAATTGCCGCTTCTCCACATGCACGCATGGAAATATTATCCGAGCATTATATACGCGTAGCATGGGCAGAGTGAGGGCTTAGGGCAAGCTGTCGCCACCCTTCAATATCTCTAACGGTGTGAGACAAGGATGCCCGCTGTCACCTTTCCTCTTCAACTTCGCTATTGAAGAAGTCATGGAGATTGCATTTACAGGACACGACTTACAAGATGTGAATCTGCTCCCAGGAGAACGACTTCTTGACTTGGAGTATGCAGATGACATTGCCCTCATCTGTGACAACTCTCAGACGTGCTAATCCGCACTGGACAGATTAGCACTGGCTGTCAGCCGCTTCGGGCTTTGCTTCGCACCATCGAATTGCAAAGTTTTCCTCCCAGATTGGCAGGGATCGCCTCCTGCGCTGATTCTTGGTGAGGATCTGCTAGAAGTCGTTCAGAAATTCCACTATCTGGGAAGTTGTATCAGCGCCCTTCGGATTGAAGATGAGATCACAAAGCGTATATCAAAAGCTGGAAGTGCTTTTGCTAGCTTTCGCCACCTATGGCGGCGGCGGGACATCACACTCGCCCTGAAGGGTAAAGTGTACAATGCAGCGGTACGTTCGACCTTACTGTACAGTTGTGAAACCTGGCCCCTTAGATCAGCGGACATAAAGAGACTAGTTACGTTCGACCATCGGTGCCCTCGCAGTTTGGCTCACATCTGGTGAGAACACCGCTTGAGCAACAAGCGTGTCCGACGCCTTGTTTACGGCACAGGAAAAGGAAATGAACCGCTCAGCACCGTTATTTCACGCATCAAGCTCCGATGACTCGGCCACGTTTTACGCATGCCAGCCCACCGACTCCCGCGACGTGCGTTATTTGCGCGCCGGGAGTGTGGATGGGACAATAAGAGGGGTGGCCAGGCGATGACTTGGTCCAGAGGAATGAAGGCCCTCACTTCTGAGCTGGCCTCGGTTGGGGAGTCTCGACTCCCTGGTTGGGGTCCGAAAGACGATGGACACGTTTGTTTGGATAAACTTGTTGATATGTCTAGGAGCGGAGCTCAGTGGCGTTCATGCTGTGAGTTTCTTTGTCCCTCCCCATCCCTGTTAGCCTCCCGTCCAACCACGATCTCATTATTTAGCATTTTATGATTTTGCATGGTAAATTATTATTTTTTCTGCTGCATATTAGCCGGCAGATAATTTACCGGAACGATGCCCATCTGTTCCAGGTGGCTCAGCTGGCTTTCACTTTTTGCATTTTTCTCCTTTTTTTCTTCGGTGTATTGCGGCACAGTAGCTGTGGTGTTTCCCACCTCTAACTAACGTGTATAGTGTGTGTGTGTGTGTGTGTGTGTGTGTGTGTGTGTGTGTAGCGAACGCTACATTCTTCTCGGACCACAATGCTCCAATGGTCGCACTGTTGTACTGAAACCAACTGTCTCCTGGAGCCAGTATGGACGAAGTAATGGGTAATAGACAGATAGGCACCTTGTCAACATTCACATCAAGTGCAGCCACTCCAGAGATAACAAACAACAGCCAATCACCTATAACGACCAGATGAAATAAAAAGTAAATCGTGTAATGTTTACAGATACGGTGACAACTCTTCGCTAAATTAGCATATGAAGTAAGCTGGCTAGCAACAAATCCGCGATACGTACAGATGTCTACAAGTTATTCAAAAAACGCCACAAACGCGATAAAGTTAACGGAGGTAACCACAATTAGCGTATGAAACGAGTGCAACTTAATAGAAGATTATTCAAGTGGGCAGAACAAAGCAAATAAGGTGGAATAAACTTTATCCAGCTAATGTATATATATAATATTAGAATCGCAGGCATTATTCACTCTTCACTCCTTTCCTAGGGCAATTGATCTTGGGATGCATTGTCCACGCGGAGGGAACTTGTTGTGTCTTGTATTCTAAATTTAAAGTTAGCACCAAAGCTAGAAAGCGTTGTTTTTTTGGTGCTGTAAGCAGCTGAGTATTTGGAACCTTTGGTTCAGGCATATCCACCGAACTCAAAACTGCTAGGTCGTTACTGGATAATGTACTCAACAATTTTCGATTTCAGCACAGATCGGTAACAACAACTCAACTTACTGGAAACCCCAGCATAATGGCTTCAGCTGACACACATGCCTTATGCGGATGAGGTCAATGATGGACTGAACCTTTATCGTGCGACGCACCGTTTCTACATTGTCGTGATAGGGTCATATAATATGCAAAACCATTTCAAGGAGCAGAATCTAAGAAAAAAAGTAATGGAGGAAACCTCGCGTAGTCTGGTAAGCAATACCATGAAGCTTATATAGTGATGCAAATCACGTACAAAGAGGGAGAAGTTGCTGTAACTCACTCTCTCGGCATTTTATTGCACTAAAATAAACTTGTGAAACCAAGGTAATTCACGAATAGTATAGAAATGTGATGAGCAACCCGTGTGGCAATCGTGAAATACGGTCGTGCTAAATAAGCCAAATATGAAGTACATTAGATGTGATGCTTACTTACGAAACGGGTACGCCACGAATACGGCATAACACTAAGTCCGTAATTAGTCATATTAGACTGTTTCCAAGTAACTTGCATTAGCGATAGAATGCCGATGACGCAAGATTGCAAACTGTCTACGACCGCACTGACGGTACCACGTCACATGATGGCGAAACATATACAAACAAATTACCAGGCTTGGTAAACAAACGGACAGCTGAGTGGAATAACCAACTTTGTTTTGGTTATCAAGAGAACTTGTTTACTTAATTAAGCCTACGCAAACAAGAGCACTTATTTTCAGTTCTTCGAACGAACAACGAGAAACATTTTTATGCTCACTTTCATGGCTAGCATGTGAACCGGCACATTAAGCATTAAAATCATCATGGTAGTTGGGATTATTCACTTTCCACGGATGTTACGAAGCGATTTTTCTGGAGACGCATAGTCCAACGTGGCCACTCCAAAGAAAATTGTTGAACTGGTCCTCTAAATTTCAAACTTCACTCCATAGCGAAGAAGCGTTGTTGAGTACTTGGGTTCCAGAGATAATTGTGAATTACTGGACCCAATTCTTCACTCCAAGATGAGGAAGCAATGCTGCGTGCTGTAATCGGCAAACGCTTGGAAGCCTTGTATTGACGCGTTTCCACAGAAATCAAAGCCAGGACTAGGTAATGGTACTCAATAATCTGCGCAGTTAGTACAATTCCGAATGTACAACTTCAATTGACTTCAAATAGCCAACAAATATGGCACTTGACTCACCGATGATTGGTTAGTCCATGACAGTCTGATTGAATGATAGCGAACGTTGGGATCGAGGGTTGGATGCACCATTTGGGTTTGATTTCCATCTACCACAATGCACTCTTCCATTGACATGTCTTCCTCAGGTTTTTT